AAAAAAAAGAAATCCACCCACACAAATGTCATTATACTCTGATTGTCTCTGAAAGGCTCCACTGTTTAAACAAATTGTACCTGGAAGGATTCCAAGAAGGAGTTGAAGTAGATGAAGACGATTTGAGAGATCTCATCTTCCCCTGGGTTGACAAAAAACAGCATATAGGTGATTCCCAGGAGGGGGAGAAGGACGAGCGTGGCCTTCACGGCTTTCCTGCAGGCGAAGAAACCACAGATCAGACAACCATGACGGACAGGCTCAGCTCACTGTGTGTTAAAGGCTCTTTTTGGATCCTTTTACCTGACTGAGGATTAAGTGTAAATCGTGACTAAGATCCAGGGTCTCTATGCTTCAGGTACAGCAGAGCACATTCAGTTCGTGGCTTTTTCACAATAGCTTGGCTCATTTACACACAAGGTGTCCTTTACTGTCCAGTGGAATTACTGAGAAGAATAAGTCACTCTCAACTAGACATTCAGCGTGCAGGGTTTTATTGTGAAGGGGCATGTTTTAACCCAAACCATTCACTCAAACCTAGCCTTACCCAGTTTTTGCTGTCTAAACCTGACAAAATACTATTTAGTACATTAAACCAACCAGATTTTTAGTGGCTAAATATTTAGGCTTTTGCACCAAACCTAACCAAGTCAGTTTTAGTGGCAAAACCAAACCAAATCCTTCTTAGTGCCCAAACCAAGCCAAACATAATCACATTATTTTTAGTTGTTTTTCACAAGTGTTGTCACAGTGAAAGTGAAAACAAGTGAAAAAAAAATCAAATAAATTATCAAATAAAAGAAAGCAAAGGACATGAAAGAAGATTTCCTGAATGGAAAACCTGCAAATTAAGTCTTCAAACTTCCAACTTCCTAATGTGTCTCTAAAACTGGCTAATGTAGTTGGCAGACTTGCCAAGGAACACATTTTCTATAACAGGTAGAAGCAAAAGCAAGTGGTATAAAAAAAAAAACACACACTACAATGAGGAAGTGTTTTCACAGCAGGTAACGTTCAGTTCACCTGTACTGGATGGTCTCTGATGTCGTAGAGGCTCGCAGTTTGGTCATCAGGATTCGTACGATGTTGAAGAGGAAAATGAAATTGATCTGTGGAGAAATCAAGCAAAGTAAACATGGTACTGATTATGTAGGAAATTTTATCTGAATTTTATCTCTTTTATTCTGACTGGGTAATATGGTGTCTGGTGGGTAAATACTGGAACAAGTGTCTGTATATTTTGTGATAGTTTCATCCTTAATGTTTTTCTTTTTTTAATGATATGGACTAATCTCATCTGAAATAAATAAAGGTACTGTAAATCAATGTGAACCTCTTTATGAAGGCTTTACAGTGCGTGTCAGTGTCAGAGGAAGGTTATTTTGTTTCCATCTACTCCTCATTGATGTGCTCTTCATATTGCTTAACCCCTTTCACCTTTCGTTTTCCTTTAAATGGCTTTTAAAATGATTTTAAACCTCATTTTCTGACATTATTGACTGCTGCTCACTGAGGTTCAAGGTTTCTTCATTAGCACCCAGGGCATACTTGTTGTGCAGTAGATAGAACTACAGAAGTGTTCCATTAATATACATTGAAAAAACCACAAAGGTAATAAAGTTAAAAAAACAAAAAACAAAACCACATTAAAACCTTACATTTAAAAATTAGTCAGGGAAGGTGAACCAAAGGAATGTGAGCTGTTCTTTGCAAACACAGGACTCACCTATAAGATTATAAGCCATTTTTGTGGTGAATTTTTGTTTTGCAGAGAATATGTCCCACATGCAAATCACGTTTCCTTCAAAACATACAGTATGTGTTGTTGCAATTCACTTGTGCTTTGACATGCTGCTCAAACTGCCAACTCTGGGGCTGACAAATGGCCATTTGAGGCTGGCTCCAAGAGCAAGTCGGTCCCCATAGACTTGTGTATTAAAATGCCCAACTTTACTGCAGAAATAAACATGTTTACAGCCTGGCTTTGCCTGCTAGGCTTCACCTCAGTTAATTGGGGTCACTCAACTGGACCACTTGACTGTATTTCTGTCAAGATCAGTAGAGTCAAAATATGATTGCTATTCCATCTACGGTAATTTATATCCGGCTGTGCTGCAAGGATCACGTTCCACAAACATGTGTGGAAGGCCTAAGGCAGGGACAGCGGTGGTACAGAGCAGGCAACAATGACATCGATGAGACTGAGGTAGTCAGGCATGGTGTGAAGAGGAGGGACCTGATAGAACGTGGGTTGCAAAGCTTCTTGCAGAAGCAGCAACAGCCATATGCATGGTAAAGAAGCTTAAATATCTAGATTGATATGGGGTTTACCAAAAGGATGTGGAGAAGGGTATTAGATGTGCTAGCTGCTTAATGAGGCCCATTCCCAGTTTGTAGTACCATAATCAGTTATCTGTCCAATAATATGGCAGTTATGATCACAAGTCTGTACCTGTGTCATTACCTGTGCAGTTTATGAATACAGCTTAATAACCAAGCTCTGCTAATGCTAACATCTCATCCAAGCAAGGTCTGAAGCTGAAGCTTTAAAATGTGCAGACACCAGCGTGACACGACATGCTGTTTGTGGACTTTAGGCAGGTTTTCAATTCCTGATTAACTCATTCACTGCCATTGACGTCTATAGCCGTCAATTGCAGTGAATGAGTCAATGGGTTTAACTCATTCACTGCCAATGGCTGGCAGTGAATGAGTTAAATATTGCAGTTTGTTACATTTCACATTTAAAAGTTATACACAAACATTTAGTGCCATTGAAAGAATGGTAGCTGGGCAGGTCAGTGCATTAACACAGATTAATATGTCCAGTTGCAAATGTACTTGCATATACTTGTTGAGGTCATGTACTTTGGTACATTTTTTGATGCACCTTCACTAGTACTTTCTTTTCAGCTACTGAATATCAAGCACCGATGATGACAAAGTGCTTCTAGAAGAAAAACAAATATTTTGAAGTCCCCGTCTAAGTGAATGGGGTAAAGGGGCATATGTTTAGCTTTAAAGATCACTGGGCTGTTGTAAGGATGTGGATTGTTGGACCCAAATGCAGAATGCAGGTGACAAAAAAATGAAATAAAAGATGAGTTTTAAAAGCTGAGGAGAAGTTCATGACAATAATGTCCAAAATGGAGTTTATTATATAACCACGAGTGGCATCGAATAACCCGAGACTGCACACAAAGCTGCACAAACTAACCCTTGAACAATATAACAGTCAGCACTAAGCACTGAAAACTCACATAATAAAACAGGAACTAAAGTGTAAAATTACTAGAATGATAATGAAAACAGAACATGAATCAAACCTCACCCTCACAATAATCAGAAACTTAGAGGGCTTTAAAAGCAATAAAACTAAATCCTGTACAAACCCGAACAGAGAAATATTAAAGGATCCAATGCTTAACTCAAGAAAACGCTTGGATTATGACATGAAAGTAAAGAATCACCAATAAGAGCCAATAAAAAGCGTTTCAGAAGTTTGGCGTCTTTGCACCAAAACAAGGTTTAAAAAGGTTTTTCCCTCCTGAAAAACATACTATGCACAGGCACAGGTCAACGGCCGCCTTTGGCAGATCAGACTTCGCCCAGATTCCCAGATCTCCTTCTTATTTAATATCTCCTTATCATCCATCCGTCCAATTCAATTCAATTTCAATTCAATTTTATTTATATAGCGCCAAATCACAACAAAAGTCGCCTCAAGGCGCTTCATAGATACAGAGAAAAACCCAACAATCATATGACCCCCTATGAGCAAGCTCTTTGGCGACAGTGGGAAGGAAAAACTTCCTTTTAACAGGAAGAAACCTCCGGCAGAACCAGGCTCAGGGAGGGGCGGGGCCATCTGCTGCGACCGGTTGGGGTCATCCATCCATCCATCCTCTTCTGCTTATCCACTTCAAGATCATGTGGGAAGCTGGAGTCTTGTTGGGTGATGTAGACCTTTATCATTAACACATGATACGGCTACATAATGTACCCACTAACTACACACTAATTCAACTCCATCCATCACAGCTGTGAAATGCTACACGTTAAAACACACTGACAGTTTATTTTTATTTTTATTATAGATTTTAATCACTTTTAGCTGATGATAGTTTTAGTGTTTCAATACGGGGCTTCTGCTGCTTTTACACACAAGTAAAATGATTTCTTCTTCCACCCTTTATGACAGCAGGATGGAGATGACTCAAAATAAACAGAGTGTGCGTGTTGATGGTGTTGAAGTACACGTCAGTCAACGTTAACAGCTTCTGTACAACAAGGAGCTCTATGTCGATAAGGCACTAAGCTGTTTAAGGCTTTAGTTAAACAGGAGGCTTTACTGGCACAGAGAGAAATCTAACATAATGCCTACATTCTCCTTTAATCTTGCTTAAAAAATGTTCTTTGTGTATCTAAAGTGCTTCTTGAGATTATTTTTCCACTGTGTGACGAATGACAAAATCAATAGCTTGTGAAATAAGTGTGAAATATGTCACATGGGAGTAAAAATAGACATAGGAATACTTTCCAGGGCCGGTTTGACCCGACCTTGGCTTGAACAGATGTATGGCAGCCTCTCAGGGACCCTGCACTCTATTGGTCTAACTAAGCTCATGCAATGTTTAATAACATCCCAGATTCCTTCATTAAGGCAGGACATTACTTTATTGCTGATATTAAGAGCCGCTGGTGATGATGCCTGGAGAGTCCACCGACGCAACACCCTCAGAGAGCAGACCACGAATATCCTGGTGACCACATGTTGACCCTGTCGGATTAAGTGCTGGGGCACAGAGATAAAAGCCTGCAAGAACATGCCATTGTAAGGAAGACCGGAGAAATTTCAGGGAAAGTAGCAGAGAGATATTAGAGCAGACAGATATGTGCTCCAGGGGCGAGTAAAGCAGGAGCGAACACAGTAAAGAGCCTCTTGAAGAGATGATTTTTCCTTTTTTTTTCAAAGAAGAGAGGATAAGGGTGTGCTGTTTTGGATGTTGGGTGGGGAGGTCACTCGACCAGTCGAGAGCCAGCAGGGACAAAAAAGTCCAAACTGAGCAAAGACGTGATCAAACAGTGACAGTGTGTGAAGACGTGAACTGTAGAGGGGGAGGAAATAATCTGATCCTTCAGTTAAACAAGACCTATTCTGCTTCTCCTAATATTATCTCATATATATCCTGTTCAAGTGGACTTTCAAATCCAACAGGGCCAAAATGTTACGTTTCAAATACGGAGGTTTGAGAATGGACAACTCATCTCTGTGAGCTCATAGCTCAGGTTTCAGAATACTCGAAACCAAAAATGGGCAAAAAACGACCCAAACCATCTCAGTCCGGCTTGCAGTATCCTACAAGGAACGCTAAACAACCCCACTGCCCAAAAACAACCCAGTAAAGGCAAGATGATGCTTAAAGCCTGTACTTCTATTTAACTTGACTCTCGCTCATATGTGTTACGTTTTATCTTTAAACGCTACACTCTCAAGAGTTATAGATGCAAAATGATTTAACGTCTAAAACATTTGCATTTGTACATAAGATCTGCTAACTTTTACTTATATATATTTAAGTGAACTGTTGTTTTTTAATTAGTAAATGTTCAGTCTACTAAATGCTTATTGTAAAGCTCTATTATGTCTTCCAAAGACAGTGTTGGGAAGGTTACTTTTAAAATGTATTCCACTACAGATTACAGATTACATGCCCCATGTATTCCGTTATGTTACTCAATGAGAGTAACGTATTCTGAATACTTTGGATTACTTAATATATTATCATGCTTTTTACAACTACATGAATGTACTATTGCTGTGTGATTTATTACTATTACTGAAGGACACTCGCCATACCAATACCAACTTTTAAATCTTAATATAAATGAGTAACAGTAGGTGGACATTAGGTAAGGCTGCACTTTTTGCAGCGATCTCGTATAGAAAACTATTCAGCGCGTATATAAAACAGGTCCGTGGCTCCGAACCGTAGTAAAGGGACCTCTGGCTAATACGTCGGGTTCTGTGTCGGGCTCGTAGCCGAAAACTAGCTTTACTTTGTTGTCTGGGTCAACTTTCAGAGAGAGGCGTTGAAAGGCTGCTCCAACGGAACTTATTGTTTCAGAGGAAAACAGAACACAGCGTACGGTCGAGTCTTAATAGCTTACTTACAACTGGGCTCGTCAGGCACTCTTCTTGGCTGCAGTGATTATTATTATATTTACATGCTTCATACATGCTATGCCATTATGCCGCAGTAGAGGTGACATGGGCCGTGAGATTGAGACACAGACATTAGAGCCTCTTAATGCGTGTTTTGTTTGGGTTTCCACTGGAGTGAAATGATCAAAAATAGAGAGGGCATAGCCTAACATATGAAACAGGAAAAGACCGCCGTGTAATCCATTAATTTCAACAAAGTAACTGTATTCTGAATACTACCTTTTTAAACGGTAACTGTTTACAATTCTTCATATTTTGTATTTTAAATACGTAACGCCGCCACATGTATTTCATTACTACCCAACACTGACCAAGGCACATGTTTGCCTGCCCCAACAAAATGTTGTTAAAACGTTTTGCTTCAGAGGGGCAGCCAATCGGAAGAAAGCTGGCTTGGTTCAGGACTGGAATGAGTGCAGAGTTTGTTTGAACATTCGGGGCACACATTAAGTGCGAAGGGTACACTGATCCTCTCTTTTACCTTCCTGTCGACCTGGGACCTCCCCTGTTATTCATGTCCAGATAATCCCAAGTAAGACAATTTCATTCCATCACTCTCTTTGGCTCTCGGAGGAGGCGGACGCACTTTTTCTCCTCTCACTTATCTTCCCTGCTTATGTCCGTGTCTAGTCTCGTGTTTTTTTTGTATTTTCCCTGGAACACTCTCTCACAGTCTGTTCACTAAAACCTAAAAGAGGAATTATGGATCGGATCAACTGGTCCCTAAATGCAATTTACACCCCTTTCTCAACGAGAAGTTTGGGCTTGGGTGAGCCTGAGTGCTGAAGATATCTACCTATTCGGAACCATGGTAACAGGGTTCTGGCTGATCGGAGCTGGCTTGGCCCTGACTTATCGAAGAATTAAGAAAGCGGAACCGGCTGTTCAAACCCCCACAAGGCTGCCCGCTGGGATTGGAACGATGGGAGAGGCGTGAGTTTCTCAAAATGGGCTCATTGAGTCAGCACGGATAAGATCTTGGAGAGGCTACGGCTGCTGTGAATACTCAGAACAAGACCTCTGACTGCAGACTGGATACATCTCGGAAGGGCTCGCTCGGAATAACATCTCGGGGCGCAAATTGGACTGCCGTGAGTTCTCAGAAATTGGCTCGTTGAGCACAAGAAATGACAACATCACAGAACGCAAGTATGGCGAAGCTCACGGCTCTCCAACGAGAGATTGAGAGACCAGTGTTGGACTGTAGAACTGCTTTGAAATTCAGATGAGCTGTTCGCACTAAAGTAAAAAAATACCATCACTTATGCGAATACCCCTTTGGCGCCAGCTGCAAGGCTGGAGCTGAACAAAACACCCTGATAACGACTGTGTTTAGTCTGTTCCTTCCCATTCCTACCCCGGATCCAACGCCACCTCCAACGCTTACCTCCCCTCTGATGTGGACATCGGGTCAGTTGGAGGCGCAGTCGAAAGATTGCAGCGGTCCCAGATCAGATGTACACACTGGAACTCTTTCCCATGTTGCTTGTCTGTGTTTATTGTGCTATGGTGTGTTGATATCTGTGCATTATTATCCTTCTGTGTTACACATTTCGATGTTTTTTTTTCCTCGCTACCTGGCCTGACCTGTCTCCCCAATGTGATGTTTGTATTGTATGTACGGTCGGCAAGGTCTGTCATCTCGGTTGTGGGCAAAAGACCTGCAACTGACAAATAAAGGCTATCTCATCATCTCCCATCTCATCATCATCAGAGTACTAGATACTTCAGAGATTAACTTGGCCAGTCAAAACTCCCTCTCTCATCTTCTACAGAAGTACCGATAACCAGTTTGAGCTGGATCTGTCTTTTGAATCCGATCTCTATTCTAATATTTTGTATATTCAAATGATATCAATACATGTAGATGAAAAACAATGCATTTATGTTAGGACATATCTGTAAAGGTGATTGTGGTAGAGTAAAAGTGCAACATGTTCCTCTGTGTAAAATTACAAAATAGAAAAAGCGTACTCCTCTAATTCTTACATTTAAGCACAGCACTGGATCGATTCTACTTATCTACATTGGGGACTGAGGACAGTATTTTGGATGCTCAGACAGGAGAGGGTTAATCCAGACGAGAGCTGAGCAAAGCTCACACGAGTCCCCAGCTATTCTGTAAAATCTCGAGGACCTTTCACATGAGCCCCGCTGAAGGGCTCAGAATCACAAGGGACGGCTGGCAGGGCGAGGGTGAGTCACAAAAACACATATCCGAATGCTGAAGGAGAAGTCTTTCTTGGAGCTGACATACAGTTTAGAATGAAGATTAATCTCAGCTGTGATTTGACGGCAAACTGGATGCAGATGAGAGATATTTTCAGTTCAAGTGACAAGACAGATTTGCAAAAGCTGATTTGTGATGAAAGGCACCCACCCCAGGGGGTGGAAATAGCCTAGTGTAAGAGATAATTCCTTCAAGACTGAACATATATTTGGACTTTATTCATGTTTTTATGCCTGAAGTCCAAAATGAGTCCCAGAGGTTGTCAAGTTAAACGTTAATCTTGATAGAGCTAGCGTCGGGCCGGCTCATTTATCATTGAAATATGTGTTCAACTTTCCAACTTTTCACGCCTGTCAGGCATTTCAAAGACATAATGAGGACTAATTGTACCTGCAAATTATGTCGAGCAGGTTCTGAAGCACATGCTACTACTGAAGGGCAAAAAAAGAGACTCTTACCACTAAAACCAGAATCATGGGACCTTGATAGATGTAGTCGGTGTACACGCCAGCTCGCTTCCCAAACCAGCACCTGAAATGTCAGCAAAAGCAATCAGTCATGGTTTGTTCTAACGAGCAGGTCCATTTATATTGTCACTCATCTCCTCCCCTTCGGTATGTGTTGGCATTCATTTCCCAATGTGTGCTCAAGGGGTTTAAACATGTGTTTTCCAGTCAGTGATTCACCCAAAATATGAGTTATAGCCAGATTATTTTAGCCAGAGGTGGGAAATACTCTCAGGACTTTAACCCTTTAAAACAAGTAACATTTAAGGGCTTCTGCCTTAATATAAATGAAAACATCTGCCAGCCTCGTGAGAACAGAAGAAAGGATCTTATGTAATTTTCTTGAAATGAATCAAGAGGGAATAAGGCAGCTGGTGGCAGCTGGCCCCTGCGGTTTTCATCAAATCGTACTCAAACAGGATTAAACCGAGCATTTGTTGGGGACTATTTTTATCTGTGTAATAATACAAACAGCACTCTTCCACTACCTGTGCCACACCCTTGTTTGTACAGTCTCTACTCTTAATATACTGATATTCGTGCGTAAACAGGGGCTCCAGTAAGTCTGTGTTCATTGATGAATTACGAAAAATGCTCCTTGAGCACAAACTGACCCCTTAAAAATGAAAGAACCACAGAGTGACTCTGTTTCGATAATTAACCCTCTGATGTCTGAGTCCTCACTGATAATGAGTTTGAAATAAAAGTTCTCCAAATTTGTGGCATTCAAGAAAGGAAAAGCACAATAGCACACACAAATAAAAAACTGTATCCCCCACCCCTACCACGAAAAATCCCATGTCTCTATCTGAGGGATTGTGTTTCATCATCGGCAAAGATTTAGGCCTAAGAGTTAAATCAATGGTAATCTTTTTCTGGAGGATTTCAATCAGTTTGTAGAGGAATGGATTAACTTAGCGTCTTGCTGTATTTCTTTTGAATTTTGTGTGTTTGCTCTCCATCATCTCTGCAGCCTGGTTGCATTTGTTCCCTCTCTCCTCATACCGTCGACATGGTTTTGTATCTGTGTATATCACTGGCCTTCATTTGATTTGTTGTTTTCTTTTCACGGAGCACTTTCATTTGTTCACGTGTCATATTTTGCTTCCGTGTTGTCGGGGTTTGTTTAGCTGATTGCTGCCTCGTGTATCTGGGAGGTTTGCGTTCCCTCCTTCAGCTGTCAGGTCTTTGTTTGCAGCCTGGGTTCTTTTTGTTGTCATTTTGTTTGGTTGTTGCTTTCCTTGAGCTTTGCTTATTTGGATTGTGTGTTTTGCTGCTCAGCTGAGCCCTGTACTGTATGATGCAGGTTGATATACTGAGGATATCTTCAAACTGTGCATGTTAGTCTCAACCTAAAAACTGCAAAGCAGTGTAAGCGCTCACACGATGGCGTTTAACAACTATAAGACCACAAGTCACAAACTAAAAGAAGGAAAGAAAAGCTTGCAAAATGACTTTTAAAGGCTTAGAGTTAGACTTGAATTACAATGGTGACTTCCATTAAATTATGTGTTGTTTAGATCTTTTCATGGAGTATAATAGATAGTATAACTTTAGCCTTCTTCTGTAATTCTTGAGGTAAAAGGGTTGGTTCTTATATTGTATAGTACTTTTGAGTATTCAAAGTTCTTTATGCAACATGTCTCATTCACGCAAGCACTTCCTTTCTACAGCTAAGTGTTGTTTATCTAATACTCACACCTTGATGAATGCATCAAGGCCAGTTCTGGGTTCTCTGCAAGGAAACTTGCAGACTAGATTCTATTGTCTTCTATATATGCTTGTCAGAGAAATCCAAAAGGTTTAAATTCTCTCCATGCAAAATGCTTTGTTGTATCTTCTCTGAGTAGTGAGTAGTTATGCAGCATGACGCTGTAACCCAGTAAGAAGTGAACAAGCTCTGTAACCCTGAAAACTTCTGGTTAAGGTTAGAGTGAACTGTATTGTTAGCCTTTAGTTCTCTGTTTCAGTGTTTTTACATTAGTTTTCTGTTTAAGGCAAGCTTGTAGAGTTTTTTGTAACCTTTCTTGGATCTTTCTGTGTCAAGTTTATGTGTGCTTCTGTGTGAAAACACTTCCTGCTTTATCTCGGTAGTCTCTTGACCTCTGTCTTTTCGTTACCATTGATTAGCTTCACCTGTTTCTTGGTCCCCAGCTGTTTCCACTCCTCATTAGCACACAGCGCGTTCGTCTGTGTGTATATGTACCTCGTCTTTCACTTAGACCTAGTTGCGTTGTAATGTGCTGTGCTGCCTGGATGTTATTACTTTGTATCTTGGACTTTGTTTTGGATTCACGTTGGAGTTTTTATCATCCAAATAAACAGCTTGTCTTTCGTTTCATCAAGATTGCCTCTGAAGTCTGCGTTCATTCTTCACAGTCAGTTTCAAGACATCAGCTAGACCGGAGACGTCAACAACCTTCAGCCTGACTGCATCATTTACTGGGAAGTGTTAAGTAACACTAATATGGTGCCAAGCAAGCTAACGAGGTCCTTGGAACCCAAATATCACTTCTGAGGGAAACCCTGCTTTCTGTAAAACATAGAAATGGTGTGAATATTTGACTGTTCAATCACACCCACGGTCTTGCACTGGTCAGTGGGATAAAACTTTATTCGGTTTAAATGAGCTGTGTAAATGAGCTGTCTGTGCAGGCTTAATGTTTCGATAGACAACTCGCTGTCAGGAAAATCTCATTAATGCAGTTGCGTATACTTTTTACTTATCTTTGTGTACGTTTCCCTCTGCAGACACTTTCTCTGCTGCTGATGGGAGCTGGAACCAAATTTCTTGAATGTGTCATCAGACTTGGCCATTAAATTGATTCCGATGCATTCACTGCTCTAGCGATTTTTATATTTCTGGCAGCAGGATGGTTTGTGTGGGGGGACTGAATCAAAATAAACTACAGCGTATGCTCGTGGTAATGAAGGAATATGTCACTCACAGTTTTTAACAGTTTCTGGACCACAGCAGAGCTCAGAAGCACAGGGGAGTCAGATTTAGGACTTTGGAGAATCTGGTTTTGGCCTTTTAATTGCATTTGGTGACAATTAGAGAAATCTAGCGTATCAACCGACTTTTCCAATTATTCAGCGCCCGTTTCTAAATTGCCGAATCAATTTTCACCTCACTAATAGGTGTGAAAAGAGAGCAAGCACTCCCAATGAAATGCTGGCAGGGCTAGAGTGTAATTAAGAATATTGTACAATGCAAATGTGATTACGGCTGATTATTAATAGACATTCATCTCCCTAATGTAACGCTTTGCCCTTGTCCTTTTATTACCCGGATAGAATAAAAAGTTCCTTGTTGAATATCTTGAAAAGAGGCTTACTTCTCATTGTCGTAGTAGAGCTTCCCGATGGCCCACGCCACGATTATCGGGAATGGTATACCTGTAAGGCAAAAAAACACAAAATGACAGGTGGTTCTTTCATCTTTCTCTGCTATTCAAATCACAAAATATCACTTCAGGGATTTCATGCTGGAATATTAAATCCTTTTCTTTTTTTTAAAAGCACAGCACCAGTGACTGCCAAGCTCTGTCAGGAGCAATTGTTGTCTGTGTGCCGTGATCCACAGATGCAAGCCAAGACTTGTCACCATCTGAATGTTTCTTTGTGAATGAATAAAAAGCTGGACTCTGGCTGACGATAATGCGGCGTGATCTCGTGATTTACCGACTTATAAAAGCTTAATAAAGCAGAAAAAACAGCCATCACTCACTTTTAAATGATACTAACAGGAGTGTCAAGACCCTACGAGCCAACGAGTCACACATTTAAGTCAAATGTCTGGAATATTTCCACGCTGCGGGAAATTTACTGTCATCAGCAGGAAATTCTCCCCTCACAGCTCCAGATTACTTGATAAATTACATTTTTCTTGCAGTGTTCTCCTCTTGTCCACCTCCTGACTTGTGGAAAGCAATGATGTCCTCCCGAAGCCAGTGATCCAACATATAGCGAAGCACAGAAAATCTGACCTTATTTATTTTGATGAAATGTGCTGTGGTCTGTCCTTCACACCGAGCCTTCACATCATCCCCGGAGGGAAATGTAATCCAGCTAGACAATACACCTAATCTCAACAACTCAAAGTTTAGTTTGACAATGTGAAACAGGCTGACAGTGAACTGCACACCAAGGCATTTTCCAGCTGCCGCACAAAATCCTGAGATCTCCATCAAGTCAACTGCCTCCTGCTGTTTGATAAAATAGCATCTGATGTTCAGCTATGTCTTTTGAGATGAAACTCACAGCTCTGAAATTCATAGTTGGACTCTGAGATATCTCTTTGATAAGGTTTTAGTCACACGGGCCTACAGGCTGGTCAGCGACCCCCCGGCAACTACAGCTTTCTAGTGGCCGGCAGGTTGGAGGAGTTTCGATATATTTGTAGGCCTGTGTGACTGGGCCTACACACTCCCATTAGTCAAAGTGAATCTAACCCTAAAGCATTTAGTGTCCTTAGCTTGACATTTTGGGAATTCTTTCTGAGAGATTAGTAGGAAAATTAAACCTACTTTCTTGACTTTAAGTTTTAAATTCGTTCCAGAAGAGGTTAGTTTAATGCTGGAACAACTACTTTATTGTTGCCTCACAGCAACAAGGTCCTGGGTTTGACTTTGTGTGCAGGGTACTCGAACAGTACAGACATGCAGTTATTGTGGATAGGTTAATTGGTGATTCTAACTGAATGGTTGTGTCTTTCTGAATGGAAGAATAAGCTAGATGAAGCTTTAGAGGTTATACAGGCTCTCAAACCAAGCTAGCCACCATCTTTTATCTGTATTGTCATGATGTCGGTGTAGCCCAGCTAGACAAAAAGAGCAGTAGAAAGTAATTTTTGGGTGTATGATGTAAACGATTTAGTCATTTCTTTTTTGGGGTTAAAGGAAGAAGTGGACAAATCAGATGATTTGTTGCCTTTTCATTCCTGTTCATACAGTGTCATGTGCTCGGCATACTAATGTTACCGAAGCTGAATCGCTAGGAGTTGCAACGGAGTCTGCTGCAGCTTTTTTGGTTCTTCCGAATTTCACCCTGTTCAACGTCAGGTTTTTTGTTATCTGGTCAAAGGATGACTGGACAGACGAACGCAGTCTGAAGCAAACCTCCATCGAGGAGCAGTGATTCCACAGTTCCAGTTAAGTGGAACCCAAAAGTGGATAGGATTTGCTGAGGTTTTATTGAAGGCAGAGCTTCGTTCCCATTGAAGCTTCCTTCACCGGCGTGTGGTAGGACAACAGTTAAACAAACTGAACGGCCCCAAACATCCATCAGTTATCCAACATTATTCATTCATACATTTGACTCAGAGAAAGCTGTATGCGCACACTTTTATTTAGTTTGTTATTTTTAGGGGGGAACTATTTTGTATTTTATTGTTTCAAGTACATTTATTTGCAGCTGCTGTGTCAAATATAACAAGCTGTGCACTGTTTACCTTGGTGTGGTCCTTCCTTATTGATGCGTATACCTTGGGCTCCTGTCAGTCCTAGATTATCTGATACTGGCCTAGTGGGAATTTGGTCATTCTTGCTAATAAACCATAAGTAGGGTTACATCAGGTTTCTTTTGCTGTTTTATTTTGAACTGCTACACTTTTGTTAGTTACACTTGTATTAAGCCTTTCTATCTCTATTAAGAAGTGTTTGATGTTCCACTTAATGAGATTTATCTAAACTGCTGTTATTAAACCAGTTGGTTTGCTTTGTAAAAAATTCTGCTCCATCTTTCTCAAAGTATGCATGAGTGTGGCTTCAATCCAGTACTGATGTACTGCTAATAAAATGCCACTTGATGGTGTGTGAATGTATTAGTTCTTTCAGAGTTTCATCATATTTGCATCCTTGCGTGCGTCAGCTGGTGTCAGATATTTGTTTGTTTTTCCCTTGCTTTGTCTGTTTATACATATTTTAATATGCCTGAACTAGTAAAAAAAAGCTGTTTTCATATATTTTTGTGTGCGTCAGATGACTGGGGTACGACACTGAGTTAGGCTTAGTTTGGTAAGTAGATAAGATTTGTTAAAAAGCTCTTAGATTTGTCATTATGTGGTTATTTAAGCAAAGAAAAAAAGACTCTTAGTGGTCCAAAAATCTACTGAACTGATCTGGTAACTATGAGCCAATTTAATCAGAGAGAACTTTGGTAAATGTTTCCCATTTTCCCAAAATGTCCTTGTTAAATATTAACTGATAACTGTAGAAGTGTTTTTTAATGCAGATAATTCAAGATAAAAGCAGTAAGGCTGCTTACACCAGCCGATGCAGATGAACATCCACTTGCGGAGCTTGTCGGTGGAGTAGGTGAGGACGATGGCAGTGTGGAGGTAGCAGCCCTCTCCAAACATCCAAAAGAAGTTGGTGGAGTGGAAATAGTTGAAGGAGGCGGTCACAAGGCGACACCATATCTGAAAAATGAAAACAATTATCTGCATTTAAGCAGACTTAAATGTGTAGTTACTGAATTAAATTCAGCCAAGACAAACTGATAATACTTCTAAAAACTGCCATATCTACAAGCTGTTATCCATGGCTTCGTACTTGCTCTTGTTCTAGTCTTACTTCCACCTGACAAATTAAAGGCAAAAATGTAAATATTTCTACATTCTGAGAACAATTTAAACTAATCAAGCTTAAACTTATTATGAAAGACATACTTTTATACCTTAATGAATTAATTTGTTTCTTTTTTGTTATGTCCAACAAATAATTTAATTCAGTAAACAAAAATATTTCAATCTAAATATAACATATAGACTTTATATCCATTATTTACATGGTCCAGCCTGGTTCTGCCAGAGGCTTCTTCCTGTTAAAAGGGAGTTTTTCCTTCCTAGTGTCACCAAGTGCTTGTTCACAGGGTCGTTTGATTGTTGTTTGTGGGGTTTTCTCTCTAATATCGTAGGACCTTTACCCGACAATATAACAGGTGACTGTTGTAGTGCTTGTTGTTGGTGATGTATCAGTGAGATTGGACTCAACTGAATTGAATAAAAAGAGTAAAAACATCATTTTCCTACACAGGCTGACACACCTGGATTAATACATATGTTCTTCTTCCATCAGCAGGACAGTTTATGGGATTAAGTCAAACTAAGCTAGAGAGTTCTGGCGCTCAAGGAACATTTCACCCAATAAATATATTTGGCTCATCTCATTTTGTTTTTAAGGCATTAAAAATACTGTTAAACATCTCCTTTACTTTAAAACCAAAGTTTAGGGGTTTTTTGTATTAAAGCTCACATAAATGGGCTCATACCACGTTGCTCTCATGCACCTCGGGGCTCATGGTCATTTGGACGATGAACCAGGTGGCGTTCCTCAGGATGAAGGCGGTTATGAGGTTCCAGTGGATGATGTTTCTCAGGCAGCGGATGCTCCTGTGAGAACAGAAGGAGGGAAAACTGAACTGCTGATGCTGTTTTTCCAACATTTCTCTTGTTGTTAGGTCACGAGCTTAATTTAATTCTGAGAGGAAAGATAAAAAAAATATATGTAGTTTAAAAGCAAACATGTGAAAGCTGGCAGGAAATATCTGATTTAATTATCTCCTCCTGCTGAGTTTGAGTCTATTTTTGACAGTTTCAGTGTAACTCCAACATTACAAATTATAATATCGGAAACACAGAAAATGAAGCTGATAGATAAGAATAACGAGCTGATGTAGCCTCAAAAGGAACATTTCCCATCAATCCTCACTTATATAATATGAAGTAAGACTTAATTCCCGCTCTACTCTTTTGTTTGTGTAATGCCCTGAAAGCCTGATGTTTTTTTTCTTTTTTTAAATGCGGTAAATAAATTCACTCGGGGATACAATTAAAATCTGCCCAAGTGCCTCAGAGCGGGCGCTTGAAAATAGAAACATACGACTGCACGGACTGAGCAAACCATCCTCGCTCGCTGCAGTGACGGCCGCGTTCGCTGTCACCAGCTGACGGCATTATCAGCCAGCGAAGGCCGCTTCCTCTTCTGCCAAGCATGAGTGACGTGATTTATTTTTCAGCATGCATTAATTCTTAATAGGTGTCACTTTCACTGGCTTTGTGCTGACTGAGCAGATGTATGAGCAGCATTTTCCAGCAGCATTGTATTTACTTATTTATTATATTGCACGTTGTACAAATTGTATCATGTTTTTTTATTTCTCTCTGAAGACGCTCTACCCCATTAGTAACATAGCAGGCTTCAAAAAGCTCGAACACCGTTTGGATTAATTACAATGTCATTTTAAATAAGGTTTTAAAAGCAGCCTTGAGATGATAAAAATCAAATAACTTTGTGTTTTTTAAATCCCGCTGTTCCACAAATGAGAAGGTAATTTCCCCACATCATGTTATAATGTTGCCACCACGCCAGGAGCACAGCAAGCACCTCACTGCCCTCGGCATGCTGTCTGTGGGGGCAGTGTGGCCTGATGGGACCTAATTAAGAGAATGGCTACATGCTCCTGCAAACAAGTCTTTGTTAAAGGCGCAGTAAATTTGTTTTTCTTTTCTTCTAATCTCACAAATTTTTAAAATGTTATTATTTTATATTACAATCTTACTTGATCTGGGTTTTTATTCATGTGATACTGAACATACAGGTCCAGAATCATACGACAACCGCAGACTCAAATTTGTAGCTTTGCATCTGTACGCCACCACAATAGATTTTAAATCAAACAACCAAGATGTGATTCAAGTTCTGTTTAGAAATGACTGCCATTTTTATACACAGTCCCATATTTTAGACAGTAATGGATCAGTCGGCTGATGAGCAGCTACATGTCTGAGTCTTGTTCCCGTTGTTATTTTGTAAGAAATTAAGCAGATGAATGAGCTCGAGTTGATTCCAAGTCTTGAACCAAGTAACTCTTAGTATGAAGGACAAAAAGGTTTCCATCATTAGCCTGAGATCACAAAATAAACCTATTAGAGACAGAGCAGAAACCTTAGGACCTGCCAAATCAACAAACCTGGTGCATTCTTAAAAATGAGGAATGCACTGGTCAGCAACACCGAAAGGCCCGAAAGGCCACAGACGACACCTGAAGTGCATTTAGACAGAACTATTTGACTGAACTGAGGTTTACTGAGGTTTCAGAACAAGGTGCAAACCACTGGTTACACTGAAGATCAGGAAGGTCAGATTAGACTTTGAATGGAAAACATCTAGAAGAGCCTGAAGAGTTCTGGAAAAATAAATATATAAATGAAACAAGGTGAAGAATGATGGGAAAAAATGAGAAGGTGTTTCTGGACTTTTAGGTTCTCCTTCATTGAGACTTCTTTGTTCTTAGCTTGATTATTACATTTATATGTATATATTTTAGCTAGTTTGATCTCTCAGTGTCTCCCTCCGTTCATTCAGTTTACTCGCATTCAGCTTTAATTTGCTAATCACATTCTCCCATGTATTGTCTCTGGTTTTACCTCCTGTCTGTTGTTTACCTTGATCATATTCAGCTGTGTTTAGTTTCCCTCCTGTTTCATGTGTATTTATAGCCTGTGTTTTTAGTTGTGTCACGCTGTGTTTCAGCCCTGTGAAGTTCCTAGGGTGTTCCCTGCTGGTTTCTTCTGTGTTTTTGGACGTCGGCCACAGTAAAGATTCACTTTTTGTTTCCTTCTAGTCTGACTCTGCAGTTTGCATTTAGGTCTCATCTCCATGCATGTCCCGACATGAGGAGAGAAACAGTTCCTAATCTGAAGCACACCACATCATGGAGGGCATCGTATGGGCGTGCACGGCTGCCAGCAGAACTGGGTCACTAGTATTTATTGATGATATGACTGCTGATAGAAGCAGTGGAATGAATTGTGAAGTATACAGGGCTGTACTCTCTGCTTAGATCAGACAACCCTTCACAGTGCAAATAGATCCAAAGCAAACTGCAAAAGCAACCCAAGGAAAAGTAATGGGACATTCTTCAACGGACACATCAGTTACCTGATCTCAGCCAAACAGAGCAGAAGGCACAGAGGGAAGAGAACCCACAAACAAGCAGCAACTGAAGGTAGCTGCAGGCAAAGCATCTCAAGGGAGGAAACAGCATTTTATCACAGGCTAGACTTCAGACAGTCAGACACTGCAAAGGATTCACATTCATGTTAGTTTGTCCAATTGATTTTGAGTATCTTAATATAAAACGCCAGTGACAGTGCTACTAATATGAAGTTATAACCAGTCAACACTACAAAGGAATTGGCTCCTTGACCAATCACAGTGTCCTCCTTTTCTGTTGACAGGAAATGGTCTCTAAAATCAGAGGGTGCCAGTTTGAGTTGCTATCATGGTAGCTGTCCTAACACGATTTTTTAAAGCTTTGTTTAACGTTCTTTCTCCATTTATTGATAAAAGGATTAAATAAAACATTTATCGTACACATTTTTTGTCCCGGACATTATGTCATTGACGTTGTGTCGCTGATGTCGGCCCAATTTTCATTTTGGAACTACTTTTCCACCGAGGCTAGGCGTTGAGAAAAGATGGTCATCTGGCAGGTACTCAATGTCAAAATGTTTGCCGGGTAGTTTTCCCAAATCCTGCAAACAGGGGGAGAGACTGACAGACGACAAGAACATAACCCTCTTGGCAGATGTAATAATCCATTTGACACACCAGGAAAAATAAAGATTCTCCAGAGGAAACGATGTTCAGTCTTCTGCTGAAAATAGAAATGTGGTCTCAGCTCAGATGGTGCTGGATTTATGCTCAGCATGGCCACTGTGTTCCCAGTAATTCTGCTGCAGACACTGTTTGGTATGCAGGTAAGATCACGATGACATTTTAGAAGATTTGCTGACTTTGCCGCTGCTGTGCCCCTCTCTTAAATGAGGACAGTTTCGATTTCTGGCTTTCTCTGAGAGTTTCTTCCAGATATATTTGGAGCACAAAACTTAACTTTGCTTCTCAGCGTTCACAGTTCACAGTTTTGACAGTGTGAACAGTAAGAAGATGGATCCCTGGTAATCCAAGTGGCCCGGGTGGCCTATTTTTTTTTTTAACCTGAATTATTGCACAGTAAGCTTTTCACTGTAAGTATTATGCCATGTAGCACACTCACAGTCTGCAGTGAGGAGCTCCACTGCTGGGCTAAGATTCACTGCAGTCAGATCAACTCGAGGAGTCGGTGTTATAGATTTGTCCGTGCATGTAGGGAAAACGTGCGAATCCTGAGGTGCATTTCAATAAGAAACACCCGGTTTATGATGCTGTTACATGCGCCACCAGTGACAGCTATAACTCTTAGAAACCTGATACAACATTTAGGAGGCTGAATGAGTTCCACTTTCTGATTCTGGGTCAGTTTTGGATGAATAACTGAACTGAAATGACAGTTTTTACAGCTGAGTATTTATAGGCATCAACCAAAGTGGGGCAGCAGCTGCTCAGCAGGTAGAGCTGCATGTTCACTCGTCGCAGGGATGGTTATTTACTGACTCCTCTCAAATGGTCCTTGAGCAAGACGTGTCACGTTTGTTGAGACTCACATGAACACATGCTTTTTTATATAAACAAGTCAACCGGCTAAAATCAGGGAGCTGAATGTTTTCTGTTGAAGAGGTGCCATATGCTGTGTGATAACAGGGGTTTTATTGCCAGGGATCAGTGCGTAAATGTGTCCAGGAAGGGGAGAAATGGAGGTGTTCTTTGTCACGTAAAAGGAAATGAAGTATGAGGAGGTACGACCTGCTGTAACTTCAGGATTTTGGCATCCAGCTGCTGCTTTCTGATGGAGAATCTGAAAGCCAACTTCTCTTCCTCCTGACTTTTATTGCTGGTGCAGGACTTTTACTTCTCTGCGTACCTTTGCCTTTGAAACATAAACACAAATTACATTTTCTATTTGCTGTTAGGTGCAAAACACAATGACTGCTTTCCTGCAGGCCTTTTTATTTATTTGTTTTCCAACTCACTCCCCGGTTTTTGCTCCAGATTAAAGAACATTATGATTACAGTATAGATCTCATAAGTCTTCACTTAATAGTTAAATTTAGGTCAGATGTTCACAATAAGCAGCAACTTCAAAGGCTGTAAAATGAAGGCAACATCAAAGTATGCAAACTGCAGTTCCTCTAATGGCCACTTGAGGCCTGCTCCAACGAGCACGTTTGCTCTTTAGTTGTGAATTATTAGGGAATGTGGTCGTTTCGACTGATAGGTCAATACCTCTGTACAACTTTACCACCTGATGGTACTACAGTGTATGAAATATTAAAATGACTGTATTTTTTTTACCATTTGCTCTTCATATTTTATCACATTTTTTCCAAATTAGGTGCAAAAGTGTGTTTTGTGCCACGAAATAATCCACTACAATGCTGCACTCGTCCATCTGCATAGCGACCAGCTGCACAACCTGATACTTGGATGTGCTGGTCAGCACCAAACATTTTAAAATGATGGCCAATTAAGCAGCGTTTCTTCCAATTTCCTGTCACTGCTTTGTCCCATTCACGCTGCTTGTTAAGTTTAAAGTTGGACAACCCACAGCTGCTGTTGACATTTCTGCTCGGAAAAACATCTTTAACTTCAGAAACACTCCTCAGTAACACTCGCCTCTTCCTATTTTCCAGTCGCTGGAGCAGATATTTGAGAAACAGTGAGGTTATTGGACCTTTGCCTACAGAAACAACAGGAACAAATACTCCATCCACCTTAATCACAGTAACACCAACAGTACGCTCTGCAAGTTTGTAGCACAGGATAAATGATGGAAAGGAACGACTGAGTGTTTAGGAGGAAGATTACCCCAAATTTTTGCTACATGCTCTTAAGATTTATTAGACTTTGTTGTGTTTTGGCTTTTTTGTTTTGCTTGCTTTCATTTAAAATGGTTTGATTTGTGGTCTACTAAAGCTTGTGTAGCGTTACTTAAACTGCTTGTGTCTTTAATAAAAACGAGACCAGGCACTATCTGTTATCTGTTAAAGACAGAGGCCTTCGGGTGGTGGTGGTTAATTGAACACATTAATTGATACTTCTTCATGCTGCTGGCGTTCTTGTGTTAGGGTTCAAAGCGACAGACGACCTCATTTAAAACTGCAGTCAACTAATTATCCCGAGGTCCATTTGAGCGTACCTGAAGGCACCTCGCTTTCAGGTACACAGAAAAAGTGCATTCATTTTAATTGGATAGAAATATTCCATTCGTTCAGATTACTTAATGACTTCAGCCTGATCCTTGTTTGTCAGCTAAAAATAAACAAAACAAACAAACAAACAAACAAACAAACTGTGTATGTTTTAAGTGATTGGTGGAACTACTCAGGTAATCATAAGGCAGTAACTCAATGCATTTAGATAAGCAGACAGGGTCACGACGACCCGCTGAAGGCTAAGTTAAGCATCAGAACTGGGAATAACGGTTATTTAAGTGACCCTGAACATGGCACGGGCTGGTCTGAGCGTTCCATCATGCAACACTGCTGCAGCATTCAGATGGTAGCGTCAAAGCTTGAATTTGAATGTTGTTGGTGGTTTCTTGAACAGGACAATGGGTTTAATGTATTCAGACGGCCTCCACAATCACCAGTCTCAGTGGAATGGATCACGGCTGGGCTGTGGTGGAACATGAGATTCTCATCATGGATTTGCAGCAACTGACAAAAGGGAGTCTAACCTGGTACGAACAAGGTTTAACTAATGACAAACGGATTGTTTCTCACTCACTATGTGTTAATAGACTCTCTGCATTGAATCAGACATGTCATTAATCTCTGTCTCTCGTCCACAGCATGTCGCAGCCGATGGCCGCCCCTCCCTGAGCCTGGTTCTGCCGGAGGTTTCTTCCTGTTAAAAGGGAGTTTTTCCTTCCCACTGTCGCCAAAGTGCTTGCTCATAGGGGGTCGTGTGATTGTTGGGTTTTTCTTTGTAGGTATTATTGTAGGGTCTACCTTACAATATAAAGAGCCTTGAGGTGACTGTTGCTGTGATTTGGTGCTGTATAAATAACATTGAATTGTACTGAATTGAAAATTGTTCTTAATAAATTAAATATGTAAAGTTCAGATAATCAGGCTCATCAGGTGCTCAGAGACCTCCTGGTTCTTCTGAAAGCTCTGGGCTCAGTAACATCTACTGGAAATTGAAAGGTGGCATTATGTAAATCCTCATTTTGGGACACACAGTTTCCTGTTTGCTGTTTTTAAATTGGGATCAGTCATGAATAATGTGCAGCCTTGTTAAATGGGGCCTTATTATGCTGCAGCTTGCGTCCTGTGCTGTCCCGCTGATCTATATCTCAGCTGTGCTCTGAGATTAGTCTTTCTTAATGTGTATATTTATTCCACGGATTGTGTTGCTTATTGACTCCTGTGTTGTAAAAGCTCAGCTAGGGATGGGCACTGCAGATGCTGTGGTGTGTAGCATAGTTCATGCCACATACTTGTCCCCATTAAGCAGAATAAGTAAAATTCCTTCTTTTGTCTTACCAACAGCTCAAAATCCAAAGATAATCATTTATTAACAGACATTAGTAATCAAACAGTTTACTGTGCGGATTATTAGACTACACCCACCCATGGCTTTCACTTAGGACTGAACAAATTCCAGAAGTCTAAAATGTCAAACAAAGCCAAATCAAATCCAGGCACTCATGGAGGGTAATGCACGGGGAGCATAACCAAACATAACAGACACTTTTGAGGAAGCCTGAAGTGGAAGATGGGATAATCAAAGAGGGCTGATTAGGGAAGGACCAGCAGGAGGGTAATGAGACAAGTAAAGAGAATGACAGGGACTAGAAGGACAGAGCATATTTCTCCCATGCTGGCTCCTCTTCATTGGCTCCCTGTTAGATTAAGAAGCTAATTTAACTCACATACAAGGTTTTAATCAGGCCCCATCTTATCTTAATGACCTCAAAGCACCACATGACAACAATAAAGCACTTTAAAGTGCTGGTTTACTTCTGGTTCTTTGGAGCCTCCAGATTTCAGGCCCCTCTTCTCTGGAACCAGCTCCCAGTTTGGATTCAGGAGACAAACACCCTGTCTTCTTTTGACATTGGGCTTAAAACCTTCCTTTTTGATAAAGCATATAGTCCGGGCTGGATCAGGTGTCCCTGAATCCTCCCTTAGTTATGTTGCTGCTGGCTGTGTTTATACAGCTCCCTGCATTTAATCATCAGGGATTATTAATCTCTGGCTCTTTTTCACAGCGTGTCTTTGGTCCGCTCTTTCGGTTGTGCACATGGCCGCCCTTCCCTGAGCTTGGTCCTGCCTAAGCTTCCTTCCTGTTAAAAGAGATTTTTTCCTTCCCACTGTCGCCGAGTGCCTGCTCATAGGGGGCTGTCTGATTGTTGTTGTTTTCTCTCTAATCTTGATGGGTCCTTACCTTACAATATAAAGCGCCTTGAAGCGACTGTTACTGATATTTGAGGATTTATAAATAAAACTGATGGGAGACAAACAGGAAGCAGAAATAAAAACCCTATCAAAGTAAAACAAGAAGTAACCGAAGGCGAATGAAACAGACCTGGGTACTAACACTTAACAAGTGTGAGATAAGAAAACGGCCCAAAACAAACTGAACATGGGGACAGAGATGAAGGAATCCTGGAGGACAAACAGAGACAGCGAGAAATTAAACCAACACATGAACTGAAATACACGATGCAAAACTGAGACTGATCGCTAGAATAACCATCAAAACCTGGTGATGTCACAGGAAATGAAGCCTAAGATCAACTAAAAGAGAAAAATCCAAACAATAACCTAAATTTCAAACCGTTGGGAATAAAAGTAAAAACTCAGCAGAAGCTCGAATTCATATTTTCACAAAGAATTCAAAACCAGCACAAACCCGAGGAATGTGCCATTCTGATAAATAACAGGAGATTATGAATGCAGCTCTTGGAAACAGTCCGAACTTATTAAACTTCATGTCCACGGCATAAATCTGCATTATTGTTAGATTAACGGGAGACTCGTGAGCTTCTGTGGAAAGAATCCCTTCAAACTGTCTTTTATAGTAAGATTATCAGGAAATACGCCAAACTGCTCATTGCACTATTTTATAATGAACATTACGCCTCGCTCTACCCTGCGCTCCTCTCCTTCCTTCCAGATCCACACCAGTGCACAGGAGCCTCGGCGTTTCCCTCCATCAAACAGCTTTCCTTTAAATGGTTCTCAATTTCTTTACAAAGTCAAGAAGGTAAGTAATAAATGCCAAACTCCTTCTCCTGCCATTTTTAGCTGCCTGACACTTCTTCCTCCCCCACTCTCTATTCATGCCACTGTGGCCCACAAACACAGGTTGTGCATAAATGCTATCCTGTAGAGCTTCTACTTATTATGTCTCTCTGTGCCCTTTCACGCTTTTCTCACTCCCCGGGGGTGTCTCGGCGATCGATAACAGCCCCGGCTGTCGAGGGTGCTAAGACCTTTCTCTCGTTAATGCACGGCTTATTTCGGTTTGCCAGGGAAACCCTTTTCCGCCTCCACCGATTGTCCCGGCAGGCCTCCGTGAGACTGTTTTCTCCCGGTTTTGAGATGGGTCTATTATTCCCAATTGTGGGGTGAAATGTGCCCTAGTTTTTGCGGGCGTCTAAACCCTTTTTACATCTGCGGGATTGAGATAGGGGAGGTTTCATCCCATGACCAAATGGGTTTTTGAATAAGAACCAGAGACGCTTTGAACCTACTGGGATCTGGAAAATACTGACGTCTCTGTCACATCTGGGATTATCAGTGGACTGGTGGCAGCGAGACCAACACTTACCTCAAACACAGGAAGAGGAAGAAGGCTATGAGCAGCGCCACCATGGAGATGCAGTGACCCAGGAAGTTTATGATCACGGCTATTTGGTAGTGCATCTTGCTTTTTTTCTGCAGAAGAAGAAGAGAAACACTGGATGAGTCTTTTGATTCACAGAAATAGTTCTTATTTTCTTCTCTCTGGATAAGACAGGACACTTCAAAGGGTGAAAAATCCTCTTTTATTTTTTCGATTTTTGATGGATGACTCCCGCTGTGATTTTAAACAGGAGTGGGTGTTAGCGTTCCCAACAGGGCTGTCAAGGCTCAATTTAAATCTGAATGCAAAGCTGTTCATAATTAATTGTTAAACTGTCTATTTCTGGCAATAATCGAACCCCAAAAATAATGGTAAATATTCAAATATGGAGTAATATCTCTAAATATCCTACAGCTGTGGATGGATTTAGACAAAAATGAGTCCAAACGAACACAAACATGTAACAGGTCTCACTGTGTTACCGCAGCAAAAATGCCACAAAAAATGAACAAAACTGCAAAGTTTATTATGCTGCTTGCATTTTTTCTTTGTGGCCTTTTTGTGCAGATATTTGTGCAGCTTTTTCTTGTCATTTTGTGTCTATAACTTTGTGGTACGTTTGCATCTTTTTGAAGTGGTTTTGTATCGATTTTGTATCTCTTTATGGCTTTTCTTTTTCACATTTCTTAAACGAACTTTTTTATGTTTGTGAGTTTTTTGTGCAAGTTTTGCAAATCATTGTGAATTCTTGGACTCTCTTCAGCCTTTGTGCAATAACTCTTTTTTCCTATCATTTTCGTTATTGTTGTTTTGTCTCTTTTGTCTGTTTTCTGTTCATTTGCAGTCATTTTTGATCATTTTGTGGTACTTGTGGAGTATTTTTATGTAACTTTTGGATCTCTTTGTGGAAGGTTTACTCATCACTCTCAGCCCATATTTCACAACATCCTTCTGCAGTCTTTCTAGTTTTCTTTGAAATTGTGCTTTTCCAATCTTAGGCACTTTGTTTGGTGGTACTTTTGTGCCAGTTTCCAATTACTTACTAAGTACTGTACATTTAGTTTTTCTTCTTCTAAAATCTTATTTTTTGATCTTGTTTTTGTCACTTTTGGCTTTTTTTGGTGTCTTTGTGGAAGTTTGTAGCTGCCCTTCAGTATGTTGTTGGGTCGGTTTCCCCTTTATATTCATTTTGCTTGGCTTTTTAGAAATTTATCTATTTGTTGCTGATTTATGCATTTTTAAATTGCGACTATTTATGTTTGTGTCTCTCATATCACTTTGAATAACCTTAAAATAATTTTACATTTCTTTGCTGACATCTTTTTGGTCTGTTTGTGTGTTCATGTGGATTATTTAACACATCCTTGTGATACTTTAGCATAGTTTTGTCTAAATTTTCTTTTATTTTCTGCTTGTTTTTGTGTCTCTGTGTAGTTCTTTAGACCTTTATTCTTTTGGTGTCTTTTGCAGTCATTTTGTGTCATCCCTAATCTTGTGTGTCCATCTTCTGGCACTCTGGCTCATACAGTTGCATTCAATTTATGTAATTTCAGGGTACTTGTGTGTCTCTTTGTGGAAGTGTTACACATCTTTGGTGCCATTTTGGGGGGAGTTTTGAATTCCTTTTGCATTTAGTAAATGTTATTTGCTGTTCCGAGTCTCTCCGTGGTATTATTTTCACTTCACAGTCATTTTGTGGATTTCTTTGGTGTGTTTGTGTCTCTCAGCAGTTCATTTTATCCACATTTGTGTTCATTTGGTGCCTCACTGGCACTGGTGATCTCACTGTGGCTTTATTATTTTACACCTCTCCTTTTGGCATTTCTGCATCTCTTTGTTGTTCTGTTGTTGCTGTTTTATGTCTCCTCAGCAGTGATTGTGCATATACTTTCTGGAGCCAACTTTCCAACAGGAGATGTAAACAGAGGATGTGGTCCAGGGGCTAGTAATCCCTGAGCCTTGCAGGAGGGCCAACCAGATTTCATGGGGGCTTGTGCCGCCCCACTGGATCCACTCCTGGTTAGGAAACAGGAATACTGGGAAGCATTTGATTTTGCACACGCTCACATATGGAGAATCCACATGAGGCCTTGTGATAAGATTTCATGTAAACACAGACCCATCTTCCTGCAAATCGGTGCCTAAGCCCACTGTCTGTGGCTCAGAAATCCATTGTGATCAGATTTCCCCCACTCTACCAACAGTAATCTGTGCTGTAAGTGGATTTATGTAACCTACTGGTGTCTACGCCGAGATTAAGCGTGGGCATGTTTAATCCCTGCCTCATCCACACTGAAAAACGTCATGCGTCCCATTCACTATATTTTAGTCCAACAGCTCTAATCTTCAACTTCTAAATCTGTACTGGACAAATGTTGTTGTGACTAAAAGCGCCAGCCAGCCATCTCTCTGCTGCTTTATTGGAAATTGCTCTATTGTTTTTTGTAAGATGTTTTTCTGATAGATCCTTGGAGGGATATTTCTAGGACTGGGTGACAAGACTCATGATCCATGCGAAGAAGTCATATGAGTTCTTTTTCTGAGCGCCCACCTCTGCGGTTAAAGGTTGGCATATTTTAAGGAACAAATAAGAATTGTTTGGGAAAGCTCGAGGCTCTGGTCGCTCATGAGACAGAGACAAATGGCTCTACTGATGCCATTTATCACACTATCAAAAGGGTTTCCTTTATCCACACTGAAAAAACTGATTCTTTGCCCTCGTGAACATGAAGCAATAATTTTGAGTTAAATGCAGATGAACTTTATAAAAAAGAAGTTTTTTTTAATAATTAAGGAAAATAAGTTGGTTTAAACTAACTGTATACAAGTCAAGTAAATTTCATTTGACCAAATTCCATCAAATTTAACATTTAACATTATATTTATGCAAAGAAAGTACATGGAAAAGTCAGTTTTTTGGGATAAATATTTTTTGAGTGAGTGACATATTTTATTTCTATTTGAAGGTTTTTTAAAATCATTTTTATGCAAAAAGGAATTAAAAGAAATTCATCCAACGAGATTAATTTTTTAAAACATATTTTAGGTACTTGTGGCTGATGGCTGGTTGCTAGCAGACCTTCCAGGCTTCGGCTGCCTCGGCGTCTCTCTAATATTATTCAGCACCTTGTCATAGGTCTAAGTCAAAAGGACCGTACGCTCTTATTGGCAGTCGCTTCAATAAACCTGTCTTGAAGTTGAGGCTTTGTGTTGCCGGCGGTTACTTCACTCATTGTCACATGGATTTAATATTTTATCTGGCCGCCACATATCAGGTCCTTTATGAAGAGAAATGTTCTTTGTGCCAATAAAACTAGAAAAACTAGTTTTACTCATTTTCACTGCAGTCAAAGTTACACCGTGAATGCCTTTGTTAGTCATTAGTTATCTCATTAGTACACACGACTACAGTCCACACACTGTGTCCTCACTACAGATCGAACCCTGCTACATTTTTTCAGTCAGATTTCTACCTTTAAACAGAAGCTGTTCATTCTCACAGATTAAACCAGGTTACAGAACTGCTGTTTCTTTGTGTGCAGCTGTTAAACAGAGTCTGAAACAATGCCATTTAAACTGAGTTACCGATTACTTCCTTTGGTAAATCTCAGTAGATATAAGGCAACAAATCCTTCATTTGTGAAGTTTAATACATTCAGCCTCATCAGATCCTAAGAAACTAAACACGGGGCAAAGATTGTGACTGTGTGGGACACTTAGGCTGAAATGCACTCCTGAGTATTTCTTTTTTAATATTCTCAAAAATGAGATTTCAGCTGCTGTTCAGTCTGTTAAGGTTTATTAGCACACCTGTTTGACTCGCGTGTTTGTTTATATAAACTAGATCCAGTCAAAATGCCGGACACTGTCTCAGTATGTGGGACAGGCGGACAAAAAGTGCAGCGATTTTGTTCCAGTTTTATTTGTATAGCTCAGTATCACATGTAAAGGCTCACAGGACTTCCAAGGGCATAAAAACATACTAAAAGCAGAACAAAAGAACCAAAAATTAAGTGTCGTGAAATGCAAAAGAGCACCCAGATGCAAGAAAAAGTCAAATAAAAGTGAGCCTTTCAGTGGCTAAACTACACAAAGTCCAAAGACCTGGAAACCTGGAAATCAAAGCCTCCAAACAAAAGCAGCTGAAAATGTGAAACAAAGAGAAATCAAAAAGCAAGCGAGGCTACGAGAAAACAGGAGGCTGTGAGGAGACGACTCAGAGCTGTGGGGTGTACTGCAAAGCTAGATTTTTGTCTTTATTTTTGGTGTGATAGATCACTACAGTCTTGGCAGCCGGGGGTCAGTCTCTGATTTTTGCGGATGATGTGGTTCTGTTGGCTTCATCAGGTGGGGGCCTCCAGCTCGCACTGGAACGGTTCGCAGCCGAGTGTGAAGCAGCAGGAATGAGGATCAGCACCTCCAAATCTGAGGCCATGGTTCTCAGCCGGAAAAGGGTGGAGTGCCCTCTCCGGGTCGGGGATGAGTTCCTGTCCCAAGTGGAGGAGTTCAAGTATCTCGGGGTCTTGTTCGCGAGTGATGGGAGAAGGGAGCCGGAGATTGACAGACGGATTGGGGCTGCAGCTGCTGTAATGCGGACGCTGCACCGGTTCGTCGTGGTGAAGAGGGAGCTGAGTGTAAAAGCGAAGCTCTCAATTTACCGGTCGATCTACGTCCCTACCCTCACCTATGGCCACGAGCTGTGGGTAGTGACCGAAAGAACGAGATCGCGGATACAAGCGGCGGAAATGAGCTTCCTCCGAGGGGTGGCTGGCCTCTCCCTTAGAGATAGGGTGAGAAGTTCGGCCATCAGAGAGGGGCTCAGAGTAGAGCCGCTGCTGCTCCACATCGAAAGGAGCCAGCTGAGGTGGTTCGGGCATCTGACAAGGATGCCCCCTGGGCGCCTCCTGGGTGAGGTGTTCCAGGCGTGTCCCACCGGGAGGAAGCCCCGGGGCAGACCCAGGACACGCTGGAGAGATTATATCTCTCGGCTGGCCTGGGAACGCCTTGGTATTCCCCCGGATAAGCTGGAGGAGGTGGCTGGGGAGAGGGAGGTCTGGGCCTCTTTGCTTAGGCTGCTGCCCCCGCGACCTGG